GCATACAATGTGCACAAGGTGAAATTAGCAACACAACTGGTAAGAAAACACCATTGTAAATGACATTCCTGCTTAAACGTGATGTCTGCGTTGCTCAGGCGTTAAGATTCCTCGCATAATGACGAAGTGTTGTGTTACTTCTTAGATTCCATTCATTGCATAAAGTGTCCTTTGGAATTCAAATCTAATGAAAGACGGGATCAGTGCATCCCAAAGGAAATCGAGTTTCTTTCCTTTCTCGAGATGATGGGAATCACTTTGGTGGCACTGGCGTTGTTTGGAGCCTGCACCACTGTTGCTGTATTCGCAATATTCTACGTCTATAGACTCACTCCAATTGTTAAAGCTAATAACTCTGAGTTAAGCTTCCTTCTTCTCTTTGCCCTCACACTTTGCTTTCTGTGTTCAATTACGTTCATCGGTGAACCTTTAGTTTGGTCTTGTATGCTCTGCCACGTAGAGTTTGGTATTAGTTTTGTTCTTTGCATATCATGTGTTTTGAGTAAAACAATTGTCGTGGTGATGGCATTCAAAGCAAAGTTTCCCAACAATAATATGATGAAGTGGTTTGGACCAAGACAACAACGGCTGATGGTTTACATCCTTACCCTGGTACAATGTGCAATATGTACTGCCTGGTTAATTCTATTTCCACCTTATCCTTTGAGAAGCACTAGTCACTCTCATGAGATAATCGAGTTTGAATGCAACGTGGGATCTTCGTTAGCATTCTATTGTGTTCTCGGTTATATTGGATTTCTTTCCTGCGTGTGTTTTGTGGTAGCTTTTCTAGCTCGACAACTTCCAGATAACTTTAATGAAGCTAAGCACATAACGTTTAGCATGCTTATCTTTTGTGCAGTTTGGATAACTTTCATTCCAGCTTACATAAGTTCGCCAGGAAAATATGCTGTGGCAGTTGAAGTATTTGCTATTTTGGCCTCCAGTTTTGGTCTGCTTATTTGCATTTTTGCTCCAAAATGTTATATTATTCTTCTGAATAAAGAAAAGAATACAAAGAGGAACATGATGGGCTCGGTGTCTTCCAAAAAAAGCTTTGGAAATGTTCATAAATGAGGCCCGGATATTTTCGTAGGTATTTATTTTTTGACGTAATGGTAGCGAATACTAATTCCTTGTGGACAGACGTAAAGCTGAGTGTTTTACCAGCACCCATTTTACACAATCGAACAAAGCTAAAATAACCAGCAGGAAGTGCAATTTGAAGTTCGGCTGTTAATTTTTACTATTTTGAACATCTCCCCGAGCTTTTATCGGAATGGAAAGTCGTGTATGACCTATTTGTATTTAAATATCTATCAAAGTCACTTTTAGTTTCCTTGTCGTGTCCTGAATCTCTTCATTGCGTGGAATTTCGATTTGAAACTTGCTTTATCTCTCAATAAAAAAATCAGTTCTGAAACTTGGCCTGTTCATGTGTACAAAATGGATTGCTCACATCGTTTCCTCAAAACACATTAATAAAAATGCCGTCACTGTGCTCAGCTGATATGGGGGAAGGGGGTGGGGGGTCGCTGGGGGAGGTTGTAGTGATATTGGTGGTGGAAAGAGGGGGAATACTTAGAATCTTTGAGTTCACCATTTTGGCGGTACTGAATATTCGGCCTGTTTCAGGATTAGTTTCTTATTCATTCTCCAAAGAAACTCATGAATTTGCTTCTCCTGCTCTTCCCTAGCTGCGTATTTTCTCACTGAAGTGCTGTAATTCACTGGCAAGTTATAAGTTGAGCATTTCAAAGACCTAATTTACTGAGTCAGTCCTGAAAAGTTTGTTCTTCGTGCCGACAATCGCGTATTGCATGCATACATTTCCAACTTGTTTGAAACCAAGAGAGATTCCAAATTGGTCTTTTCAACACATTTATCCATTGTGGGTGCACTTTATCTACAATATGTCCATGGATATGAATCCTTTTCTTTCTAAATAAAGATGTCAAAAGTGTTGGTGTTCATCGAGGGCAAAATTACAGAAACAGTTATTAAACGCAAGCCGATTAAATATTTGATGAGCAGTAACATCTTTAATGACGAATGGAGGTACTTAATATGGAAGTCGTATTTATCTAACTTCCTTAGTGTGATTTGAACCGAATTCTGAGTGTGAGGGAAATCAACAATTCTGGATAAGGAGATATCTATAGACCTGCGTTATATCACGATATTGCGGAAGGTGAGTGGTCCAGGAGGAGAGTTGAACGGTCCTTGGCAGATTGCAAGTCCTGAGATGGAGGGACGTTACTGTGGGAACTGGGCTGTGGGATGGTGATGTTGCTGCGGGGAATGCTCCTGCTTTTTATGATCCATAGCAGAGAAATAAATTTATCTCTTCCATGTAGCAGTCACTGCCTCCCTTTAGCTGTCAGGTTTCTAGGCAGCAGAGAAAAGCCCGATGGTAGAAATGCCTGAGTTGGGAGACAGAAAAATTACTGCGACTAAACCTTATTTCTATATTTGAATTTCAATCCGTTGCCCGGGTAGTCTGGTATCAAGCCTTTCCAACATTGATGAATTTATTAGATGTCTTAAAGAATGGAACAGGTGTAGTATAAAAATTAGGAAATAGTTGATGTGTTGAATGTAGATTTCCATAAATATTACGTAAGATAACGTATTAAAGGTTACTGCACAAGATATGAACTCATTTTGTGTGGATTTATTTATTAAAACAAGTATAAAATTATGATAGATGCGTCATTTCCAGGTTAGAAAATTGTAACAGGATGCGGCAGTGATGGTCTTACAGCTATTTATAATATATATTATTAGTTTGTTTGAGGGGATAGAGTGTGCTGCAGACTTACTTCCTGACGATAGGAAGACAGGAAAACATTTTTGAGGTGTAAAATGATTGGGAAGAATATCTACAAAGGGATATAAGCAGGCTCAGTGAATGGACAAAAAATGTCAAATAGAATCTGTTGCGGAGTCGTTTAGCGTCAATTTTTTCAGTAGGATAGATAGAAAAATAAAACTTCGTTCAAAAAATCATATGGTTCCCACTTTAGGCAGGAATGAGAAAGAATTTTTTTTTGCCTCAGAGGGTCATTATCTTTGGAATTCTCTTTCCCAAAGAGCAGTAGAAGATGAGTCATCAAATCTCTTCAAGGGCACGTTTGATTGATTTTCCGTCCACAACTGAATTAAGGTTGTGAGAACAAAGAAGGGAAGTGTTGTAGAGGCTGCAGTCACATCCTCATTAACTTACTGAACGATGGAGTAAGATCAAGGTGGCCGATTTGATGGAAAGACAACAATGCTATCAGCAGAGATAGTAAGAACTGCCAATGCTGGAGTCCGAGATAACACAGTGTGGAGCTGGAGGAACACAGCAGGCCAGACTGCATCAGAGGAGCAGGAAAGCGACGTTTGGTTCCCAATCCGAAACGTCAGCTTTTCTGCTCCACTGGTGCTGCCTGGCCTGCTGTGTTCCTCCAGCTCCACGCTGTGTTATCTTTTATTGATGCTATCAGCAGATTTGAAGGGAAGGTAGTCAGGAATGAGTGGAGTGGCACATCCTGAAATGAATATTAGGCTCAAGAGTCTGCAGATGGGTTTTGTACCTTCCTCATCCAGATCAGTGTCTAGTTTGCAGATCATGGGAAAACCATGCCACAGCAATTGTTTTCAGATTGGCCATCCTTAGCATTAGCTTTAAATTTCATGTGGAATTTGACAGCAAGTTTTATGAAGGGCACTCTTATTTTGTTGAGCAGAAGTGACTTATGTGACGGTGTTCTTGTGAAACTGATATACAACCAGTTGCTACTTAACAACTTATCATGGCTATCTTCTCTTTTTCATGGATCTTCTTCACATTTTTGGACCCAGCAAATTTTAATGTATCTTTGTCTTCTGTCTGGACTCAAAACAAGCACAAAACAAGGTGCAAATCAACATTCCCTTTGAAATATAATGTTTAGAACATGCTCAGATCCAGAGTTGCTTTGTAGAAAACTTTAATTCTGCTCAATGAAATTGGAAGGGTTTCTAATGTCATTTTGTGTTAGTTCATTGGTTACTGAACAGCCATTTAAAGCCAAAAAGACTTGAAGGTATTGTCAGTAAGTTAGGGGAAGAGAAAGATTAATACTCATTTTTTACAAGACGCAATTCACTGCACTGTCGTGTAGGTTGCTACAAGATACATGTTGGAGATACAGTGAGATGTCATTAACAGTTGGAACACTGTGCTGTTCATAGAATCCCTAAAGTGTGGAAACAGGTTTTTGGCCCATTGAACCCTCCAAACAGCAGCGCACCCAGACCCACACCCCTTATCCAGTCCCTGTAACCCTACATTTTCCATGGCTAATCCACCTAGTCTGCACATCCCTGGCCACCGCTTGACAGTTCAATATGGCCAATCCACCTAGCATGCAATCTTTGCACTGTGGGAGGGAATTGGAGCACATGGAGGAAATCTATGCAGACATGGGGAGACTGTGAAAACTTCACACAGACAGTCACCTGAGGGTAGAATCAAATCTGGGCATCTGGTGCTGTGATGCAGCAATGCTAGGCACAGAGCCAGCGTACCACCAAGGAACACAAGAAGAACTTACGGTAATTGGTAGTCAACCAAGGGTTGGAGTCAAACCTCAGAAGTCTTGGGGATTTCCAAATTTGGGATAATCACTGGCTGTTTGCTGAGGGAGGCTGTGATGTTAGGAGGTTGGATCATGCCTCTGGGCAATGGTACTTCAGTGCAGCTGAGAAAATGAGGTTGAAAGTTTATCAGCAACAGTGTGTATCTGATGAAACTAAGTGGGATAGGAGATGGGGGACTAATCCCAGGGGTAGACATGGTTCAGTAAAAGTAGTTGTCATTGAAGGATTGGAATTATCCTTCTGAATAAGTACTGGAATACAATCTCTGCAACCAGAACTACATGAACCCAGTGCTGCAGTATGTACCACCAGAACAGTGCAGTCATTGAGGCAGTCCATGTTGCAGCAACTTATGACATGGATTTTGAAGGATGGATCAGCAGAGCTGAAGGATTATAATCCCTTGTGAATCTTCATTATAATGTATGATGTACCATATCATTTATGTACGTGGACAGTTACTGAGAAATCTATGGGATCTATCTTGATTGAAATATCCGTTTGATGTGCGGCACGATGTGTTTCCATATTCATTCATGGGACAAGAACGTTGCTGTCTGGCCAGTATTTATTGACCGTTCCTTGTTATTGTTTAGAAGCTGGTGTTTAACTGCTTTCCTGAACTGCTGCAGACCATGTATGGTCCTGCAGACCAGTACGTGGTCCCGTAATGCCTTTGGAGAGGGTGTATCAGCATTTTTATCACTGTATACATGAAGATTTACCAAATGTTAATTCTGTTTGTTAAAATCTCCTCTGCACTCTCTCTAAAGCTTCCACATCTTTCCTATATGAAGTGACCAAAACTGAACACAATATTCCAAGTATGGTCTAACCAGGGTTTTGTAGAGCTGCAGCATAACCTCACAGCTCTTAAACTCAATTCCCCTGACCATAATCCTTCTTTACAACCCTATCAACTGGGGTATCAACTTTGAGGGATCGATGGACGTGACCCCAAGATCCCTCTGTTCTTCTACACTGCTGAGAATCCTGCCAGTAACGCTGTATTCTGCATTCAAATTCAACCTTCCAAATGAATCGCTTTATACTTTTCTGGGTTGAATTCCATCTGCCACTTCTTTGCCAAGCTCTGCATCCTGTCAGTGTCCCGTTGCAACCTACAACAGCCCTCCACGTTATCCATAACTGCACCAACCTTCATGTCATTGGCAAACTTACTAATCCACCCTTCCACTTCCTCATCCAAGTCATTTATAAAGATCACAAAGAGGATAGGTTCCAGAACATTTCTCTGCGGAACACTACTGGTCACTGAGCTCCAGGCTGAATACTTTCCATCTGCTACCACACTCTGTCTTCTATTGGACAGCCAGTTTTGTATCCAGACAGCCAAATTTCCCTGAATCCCATGCCTCCTTACTTTCTGAATGAGCCTTCCATGTGGAACCTTATCAAACGCTTTGCTAAAATCCATATACACCACATCCACTGCTCTACCTTCATCAATGTGTTTTATCACATCCTCAAAGAATTCAATAAGGCTTGTGAGGCATGACCTGCCTGTCACAAAGCCATGCTGACTATTTCTACTCAAACTGTGTTTTTTCAAATAATCATAAATACTACCTCTCCGAATCCTCTCCACTAATTTGCCCAACACAGAAGCAAGACTGACCTGTCAGTAATTTTGAGGATTATCCCTATTCCCTTTCTTGAACAAGGGGATGACATTTTCCATCCTCCAATCTTCTGGTACTACTCCAGTGGACAGTGAGGACGCAAAGATCGTTGTCAGAGGGGCAGCAATCTCTTCCCTTACTTCCCGTATAAACCTTGGGTAGATCCCATCTGGCCCAGGGAAATTATCTATCCTCATGTTATTTCAAAATTTCTAGCACATCTTCCTTTCTAACATCAACCTGTTCGAGCATATCTGCCTGTTTCATGCTATCCTCACAAAATTCAAGGTCCATCTCACTGGTGAATACTGAAGCAAAGTATTTATAAAGGACCTCCCCCACCTCCTCTAACTCTGCACACAAGTTTCCTCCAGTAGCCCTGACTGGCTCTACCCTCACTCTGGCCATCCTCTTGTTCCTCACACAAGCATAGAACACCTTGGAGTTTTCCCTGATCCTCACTGCCAAGGTTTTCTCATACCCACTTCTCACTCTCCTAAGTCCATTCTTCAGATCCTTTCTGGCTACCTTGTAGACCTCTAGATCCCTGTCCAATTCTTGCTTCCTCAACCTTAAGTAAGCTTCTTTCTTCCTCTTGACTAGGTGTTCCATATGTCTTAACATCCAAGGTTCCTTCACCTTACCATCCTCTCCTTGCCTCAGTGGGACAAACCTATCTAGTACTTGCAGCAACTGCTCCCAAAACAACCTCCACATTTCTGTCGTGTATTTCCCTGAGAACATCTGATCCCAATTGTTGCGCCGTAGTTCTTGCCTAATAGCAGTGTAATTCCCCCTCCCCCAGTTAAATACTTTCCCAAACCGTCTGCTCCCATTCCTCTCCATGACAGGGAGAGACATAAAGGTCAGAGGGTCGTGATCACCATCACCGAAATGCTCTCCTACCGAGAGGTCTGACAGATGGCCTGGTTCGCTGCCAAACTGTCGCTGGAAATTTTGGCTCATTCAAAAATAGAAACATTGCTGATCTCGGAACAGTTCATGGCATTGTTTGGCGGTCTCAGGGTGATAGCATAGTGTTCGTGGCAATTCGTGAAGATTAAAACCACGCAGACGTTAAGATGATTCTTTCATGATCATGTTGCCTGATTGCTGTGCCGTTGCTTGAAGCTCAGTACAATTGCCATTGGTAAGGCAGGCCATTGAATTTCATAATAATTGTTGCCGAATGCATCCATTTGAACTGATACAAAACCCCACAAAGAACTGCAGATGCTGGAGATCTGAAACAAACAGAAAGATGATTGCGAGAAAGACTCAGCAGGTCTGGCAGTATCTGAGGAGATAACGCAGCGTTAATGTTTCGACTCCTGCGACTTCTTCAAGATGGTCAGTTCAGTTCTGAAGATGTCACTGGAGTAAAAGCATTAATTCTCTTTTCTGTTCAGAAATGATTCCAGACCTGAGTTTCACTCGCACTTTCTGTTTTAACTTGCGCTTATATTTCTGCTGCAAATCATACGTGAAATACGTATCCGTGAATTCCTCAAAATAATCCTTCCAGCCGACCTTAAAATGAAAAAAGGTGTTTCATTTTATAACGTTCTTAGCAGGTACCAGAACATTTTACGGCCAATGAAGTGTTTTCATTTTGGCATGCGGTCACTGTTGCAATGTACGAAAATATTGAATCCGTTAATTGCTAAAATCCAGATAGAGGGTCATAAAGTTCCCTCTTGTTCTCCGCATTGATAGCAGAATGGTGTGGAGGGAGAGGATTTAGTCTATGCTGCCTGAGACGCCTATTCAAAAATTCTATTCATATAGCTCCATCGTCCAGCATCAGATATCACCTCATGACGATGATTCCCCCCTTTAAGCACATCACGAATTCCCTCTGAATAAGATCCCAGTGATTTCTATGTTTCTCTGGAGCTTAGGATGTGCCAAGACTTGCCCGTGTGATATTACCTTTGTGGGTTTTGAGGCGATGGCTCAAAATTTCCTTCATTTGGAATCAATTCCAATTGAAAGAAATTGCAAAATGGTGAACTGAAACTGCATATAAAGGTTTTTGTTGGGAAATTCCAATCGCAGTGACTCTTGCTGATAAAAGATGTTTTGGCTTTGGGGCCTGTTCACTCTGTTAACACCTGTATGGGTGGACCATCAGCCAGCCTGTAAACAGTGGGAGGAATTCGACTTACTCAGTTTATTCAAGGCTGGAGACATTGTTCTAGGCGGAATTTTCAGCTTGCACTCCAACGTAGAATATCGGGAACTGTCATTTGCAACCGAACCCGAAGCGGTAGAGTGTAAAACGTTAGTTGGATTTTGCACTGAACAACATCTCCTTAAATATTTACGAGATGTTATGTTCTGCATGTTGGGTGCATATTTGAGCCTCTTTGCATATGGAATTATATCTCAAATTGCAGTGAAAAAAAGTTGTCTTTCAGCTGTGAAGACCATTATGCAAATGTGGGTTTGAGGAGTTGAAGGAGAAGTGTTTTTCTGGTGCGCCGGCACCGTGTCGTTTGCTGTTGCTTTTGACGCTTTCGTATTGACAATTTTATTATGAACTACTGTATAATTCAATTAATCGTACTGCCGCATCTGTCTAAATCATTTAATTCGTCAAATACCAATGTCATTTCTTTCCCGTTCTGCTGTCGTATTTTTTTTAGGTTTGATTTCAGAGAATTTCGCTTTGTGCAGGCTATGATGTTCGCAATTGAAGAAATAAACAGGAACCCTACACTGCTCCCGCACTTTACGCTGGGTTCCCAGATTTATGATTCTTGTAGCATGCTGTCCTTGTCTATGAAAGCATCCTTAAAGATTTTGAATGGGCGAAGGGATGCAGTTTCAGAGGATAACTGTCGGAATGTGAATGCTATTGTTGCGGATTCTGGATCCTCACAGTCCGCCGCAGTTTCAAGGCTATTAAGCCCTTTCAGAATTCCCATGGAAAGTAAACTACGTCAAATATTACGACAGCACAACATCACGAAATTGCTATAGCATTGTGTCGTGGAGTTTTTTTGACCGCAGGGAAAGATATCTTTCAGTTCCTCGTGACCGCACCTGTTATGAAACATCCGTCTATTCCAATTCCATTTTCCAACTTGGCTTGTAGCCATGCATGGTATGGCTTTTCAAGTATCTTTCTAAATAGTCCTTGAATGTCTCAAGAGTTCCTGCCTGTACCACCGTCTTAGGCATTGACTTCCTGATACCGGAAAATAAAGTGCTCAAATTCCCTCTAACGCTCCTGCTCCTTACCTTAAAACTAGACTCCCGGTTAGTGAGTCCTTCTCTAAGAGGAAAGTTTCTCCCGACCTACACTTCCTGTGCCCCTCAGAACTTTGCATAGCTTAACCAGGTCCCTCCTCAGCCTTTTCTGCTCTGTGGAAAACAACCCTATCCGATCTAAGAGATAGTAAAAACTGCCGATGCTGCAGTCTGAGATAACACAGTGTGGAGCTGGAGGAGCACAACAGGCCAGGGAGCATCAGAGGAGCAGGAAAGCTGATGTTTCGGGTCGGGACCCATTTCTCTTAAGAAAAGATCCCTATCCGATCTAATCTCCCTTCACAGCTATATCACTCCTGTCCAGTAGTCAATCTGGTGAGTCTCTTCTGCACCCGCTCTAATGCAAGTGCATCCTTGTTATATTATGGTGAGCAAAACTATTTACAATACTTCTGCTGTGGTGTATCATTATGTACAGCTCTATCATAACTTCCCTTTTTTTTTGTTTTCTATTCCTTGACTAAAAAACTGTAATGAGGTTGACTACACTGATGTAACTTTCATCTCATTTGAGATTCACAGTAAAATCACCTCAGATAAACAGTGAAAATGAGAAATGAAAGGTGACTAGATCACTGCAAAGAATGGGAGTTTCACATTACGATTTCATTCATTCACTTGCCATTGTTATGGTATATAAAATCAAATGAAAACTTATGTCAATTACTATTCGTTAACGTTAACCATTGGCAGTCGACCTGGTATTTGAAATTGAAGTGTTTTTGAATAAACAAGGCAGATATGTTTTTTTCTGATCGAGAAATACTTTATTGATCACATGTCTCATTAATATTGTATAAAGAATTTTTGAGACAACTTTCGGCTGCAGCTATGAAATATTCACAACAATTGCTTCCAAATTTTGTTTGTACTATTTTCTTCTAGTGTCCATTTGATATTCAGAATCATCTTAGTATATATTTGCAGTTTATTATTAATTGTTAATGGTTTGGTTACCTTTAATCTTTTTCATAAATCAACGAATTTTGTCCGAGATGCTAAAGGTGCTTTGATGCCTTTGTTGCTAAAGGTGATATGGAAATTTTGCTAAAGGAGATTGCAAGACAAAACATCAAAGGCATCTAATGGATAGGAAGCGAAGCTTGGAGTTCCACACCAATCCTTTCTTCGGAAGAAAGCCGAAGATTTATTTTTGGAGCGTTAGGAATCTCAATTCTACACGCAAATATCCCCGGTTTTGAGGCATTTCTGTATCGAACGCACTCATCTGCAGACCCAGGAAATAGTTTACTGAAATAATTTTGGGAAACAACTTTCAATTGTCGTCTGAGCTCGGCAGAGAATCGAGCAAATGGAACAGAACAAACGTCCAAATGTACAGGCCGAGAGAATTTGAAAACCATTAAAAATACCTATACTGACGCATCTCAGTTGAGAGTCACATAATGTGTTTAAGGCAACTTATGCTGCAGCGCATGCTCTGCGCAACATGGTCGGATGTGACACTGTGAAAAAGGCGTCCCAGAATAACACGTGACAATCCGTCCGATTTTCATTCACACCAGGTATTGAAACTACATTACAGGTGAAAAAGAATCTGACAGTGCTCCAAATATATTCGAGGTAGCACAGAAAATAAACGCCTTCAAAAAAGTTGTTTCTCTTTTGTAGTTCATGCTATTTCATTTGTTTTGTCTTAAAGCTTTTGCAGTATTTGAAATGGTCAATTTCACCGCTAAGATTGCAGAAACTGTGCACTTCAAAGAAATTGGGGATCCTGTGGCAAGGTACGACATTGTAAACTGGCAAAGTGCTGGGGTTGCGGCTGATATAGTTACGGTCGGATATTATGATGGATCTGCGCCTCCAGGCGAAGAATTCTCCGTTGTCGAAGAAGCAGTTGTTTGGAGTGAGGGGCGAAGGAAGGTAGTCTAAAATTTATTGTCTTGATATCTTTCTTTTTGTTCTTTCAAATCAATAAATTACTATTGATGAGGCAGGGAAGTCTATGCAAATACAGCTCCTTGTCCAATTCATCCTCACGGATGCCCTGTTACAATGGCTATCCTGCGAGGAAAGGCCAGAATGGAATAAGACAACAACAATAACTATGAGGGACCGGATTAACATGCTTCTGCTAGTAATGTAGAACCCTGAACTACTCATCTTGTGATCTGTCTAAATAGCACTATGGCTGTTGGCAAACTTAAATTGAGTTAACCAGAAACAAATCTAGAATGAAATTTCCACAAATTCTTGTTAAAATGTCAAACTGATGTCCTCCTGCTCTCCAGGGGGAAACGATGCTGCCTGGCGTGACTCCAGATTGACAGCAATGTGTTTGAGTCATAACTACTCGGTGAAATGGCCTAGATCGCCAATCAGTTGCCACCACTAACTTCACAAAGATAAATACTGTCATTGCCAGCAATGCCTACAAGTTGTGAATGAATAAAGACCAATGAATTGTTTAAGTTCCCACAAGAATCTTCCAAATATAGGTCAGACAAATGCAAAATATTGTGGATGTTGGAATTCTAAAATAAACCCATGAAATGCTGGAGACGTTCAACAGACCTGGTAGCATCTCTGGAGAGAGAAATTCAGTTGATATGATTTTATTTTCAGAAGAAACGTTAGTTCTTGTTTCTGTTTCCACAGAATCTGCCAGGCCTGCTGGGTTTTTCCAATATTTTCTATGTTTGTTTACAATCGAGGTCAACTGGTAGTTCCTTACATGGTCCATTGGGATATCATTAAACCACCTTTTCCACGTTTTCGCCTTTCCCAGCCACCTTTTATGGTTAGTACAGCACAAATCCAAATCAAACTTCGATCCCACATACAATTGCGACTTTTCTGACATTAGTCTGTGTTTCTCATCTCGAGACCCAGTGTTGGATCTTGCAAGGCTCTAGACATTTATTCATCTCATTTACATAAGGCAATTTGCTATGAAAGTTGTACTGCTGGAACAAGGAAAGCTGCCAGAAAAGGGCAACCTATTTGCTGCTTTGATTGTGTGGAGTGTGCTGAAGGTGAGATCAGTAATATTACAGGTACGTATGCATGTAAACACACGTATATACTTAACTATTCATTCATTTTTTTGACCTATTTATATCATTTTAATTTCTAGAAGAACCATTATTTCATGTACTCTTACTTTTTTAAAAATAGATTCCTCCACATGCGTAAAATGTCCTTGGGATTATTGGCCAAATGAACAGCAAAACCAATGCATACTGAAGATAACAAAATTTCTCTCCTTTGAGGAGATCATGGGAATTGTTTTGCTGAAACTGGCATTAACTGGAACCAGCTTCACAGTATCTGTAATCATAATTTTCTGCATTCACATCAACACTCCCTTTGTTAAAGTCAACAATGCAGAATTAAGCTTTCTGTTTCTTTTTGCTTTAGTGCTGTGCCTTCTCCACTCAATAATGTTCATTGGAAAACCTTCAGACTGGTTTTGCATGCTATGCCACATAGTATTTGGGATTACTTTTGTTCTCTGTGTTTCTTGTGTTTTGAGCAAAACCGTTGTTGTAATGATGGCCTTTAATGCAACTCTTCCTAATAGTAACATGATGAAGTGGTTTGGGCCAGTACAACAACGCCTGGCCATTTTCACCCTTACATTTGTACAATGTCTAATATGCACGGCCTGGCTAATTGCATCACCACCCTATTCATTGAAAAATGCTAATTATTTTAAAGATATTATTATCTTAGAATGTGATGTTGGGTCTGTGAAAGCCTTTTCCTTGGTTCTTGGTCATATTGGATTTTTGTCCTGTGTTTGCTTTGTGGTTGCTTTTTTAACTCGCAGATTGCCAAACAATTTCAACGAGGCCAAATGTATTACTTTTAGCATGTTTACATTCTGTGCAGTTTGGATAACATTCATTCCTTCTGATGTGAGTTCTCCTGGCAAACACATGGTGGCTGGAGAAGCGTTTGCCATTCTGGTATCCAGCTTTGGCCTACTTGTCTGCATTTTTGTTCCTAAATGTTACATTATCCTGTTAAAACTGGAAAAGAATACAAAGAAATATTTGATGCAAAAAGTCACTTGAAATAAAAGATACTCCTCATTTTCCCTTGATTTAACACCTTTGTAGCACTATATTAGCTCAACGAAGGATCTTAAATTGATCCAGATTGTTCAGCAATTGCTGCCTAATAATCAAATCACAGCTTACGGTCATCATTGGAAACTGGCAATCAAAGATGATTTTTTTTGTTGCATCTAGGAGGCAAGTCAGGCCTGAGTTGATTCCTGTCAGTGACATATTATTCACAAAGCCATTGCATAACAGTAACATTAAACAGCTTGCTTAACCTGTGTGCAGATGTTTGAAACCTTTTGCCCTTCTAAGTAATTTGAAATAATGCCGGCAGTTTTCAAACCCAGAAGTGGTGACCTTTGGCACATTTGCAATATGAACAACGATTTGAAACAAATTAACATTGACCCATATGAGGTCAGCGGAAAGGAGATGACGACACTATTCTCATCGCTAGCAAATGTCGGTTCTGAATCCCACAGGGGAAAAAATCTAGTTCCAATTGTTCTGCTGGAAGACCACTTCAAAGGATCCATAGACCTGCACATTTCGGGATTGTGGGAGGGATTCCATGCAGTCTTGGGCAAATGTACAAACTCCGCGCAAATAGTGGCCCGAAGCTGAAATCGAACCCGAGTACCTTGGCGCTGTGAAGTAGCAGCGCTAAACATTGTGCCGCCTCAACGGGATTGAGGGTACACAGGTGATTACGTTTGCAATTATTTCCTTCATGATTCTCATGTTGCCAAAAGTGATGATGTGTTTTCTTAAGGGACTCGCCTAGTAATTTGTTGATGTTCAGCAGAGATTGAAATCGATTTAGCAACATAAAGGCGATTTTAAAGGAAACAGCTGGAGCTTATATAAAAAATTCATCCGACTGTAGTTCAAAGACAATTCCTTACCCAGTCAAAGATGCATTATTGGTTCCTTTTCGTGGTGAATTCTGCTGTTGCCCAGGCATGGTCCAGTAATGAGCAGGCTTGCAAACTTTGGGGTAGGTTTGATTTACTGGGCCTGTCGAAGAATGGAGATATTATGTTGGGTGGAATTTTTGACGTGCATACTTACCAAGTTGAGCATCGCCAACTCTCGTTCAGCAGTCACCCGGAGGCGGCAAAATGCGTCAGGTTAGTGGGTGCCATTAGACACTCCATTTCGTTTAGTAGTCATCTGCCTTCATGCTGCTTCACATTTTGAATTAATTTGAGAATTTAAGATTGTTTTTTTTTTAAATTGTTAACCTTATTTTTGTGGTCCGTTCCAAAGTGCTTTATAATCAATCATGTACTTTTGCAATTTAGTCAATGTTTTAAGATTCTTAATACGGCAAAGCATGCAGCCCCAGCTCCCACAATCAGTCTTGTAATCAAAACTCAGAAACCTCTTTTAGCATGAGTGATAATTATCGGTGAAGGCATTGTGAAAGTTCTCCTGCTCTTCTTCGAAATACTTCTATTGGATCGAGGAAGGAAGGTCGGGAATCCCCTTCACGTCGTATTTGAAATTGAGCACATTGTCAGATCTTTGTTTAATGTCAGTTAAGATTTTGCACTCAGCGTCTGAGTTGGAACATATATCCACCAACTCCCCGTTACCACTGAATTATAGCTAATAATATGGGTCCTCTTGGATATAACTGTCATCGCTGTTTCCTATGTTTTTTTTTAAATCTTGTCTCTTTACCTTCTCTGCAGCTTTCAGTTCCGTCCTTTCCGTTGGGCACTGGCGATGGTTTTTGCAATCGAGGAAATAAATAACGATACAGCTCTGCTACCCGGTGTCACACTGGGATACCGCATATACGATTCTTGTAAGTTGACCCAGTTATCGCTAAAAGCAGCAATGGCGTTTCTGAACAAACCGGAGGCAAACGCGTCCTCTGATAACTGCAAAAGCTCCTCCATTGTTTCTGCGATTGTTGCTGATTCTGGATCCACGAGGTCTTTAGCAATAGCACCTCCTATGGGTACCTTCAGGATCCCAATGGTAAGATAGGCGTTTAATAACTCGGTTAGACAATATGAATAAATTTGGATGAATAGTATATGATATGGTGTCATATGCGTCAGTTAAAACATCATCTACGTAAATTTTTGTAATGTCTGTTGTTGAACTAGAGAGAGATGAAACTCCCCTTCAGAATGTTCACTCAGGATGGTGAGACGGTCCAGGACAATTACTGCTGATTACTCCTTGGTTCTGT